GTAGTAGTAGTAGTAGTAGTAGTAGTAGTAGTAGTAGTAGTAGTAGTCGTAGTAGTAGTCGTAGTCGTAGTCGTAGTCGTAGTCGTAGTAGCAGTAGTAGTAGTAGTCGTAGTCGTAGTAGCAGTAGTAGTAGTAGTAGTCGTAGTCGTAGTCGTAGTCGTAGTAGCAGTAGTAGTAGTCGTCGTAGTCGTAGTAGCAGTAGTAGTAGTAGTAGTCGTAGTAGTAGTAGTAGTGGTAGTGGTAGTGTTAGGCTATATGTATATATATATATATATCCGCCGCTGCAGCGGGACTATATTTTGTTTTGCGGGGGCTATCATCCACCCCTGAGCGGCACTGGATGTGGAGCGGCTCCAAATGAATGTTTCTTATTTCAACAACGTTACCGACATCGCCCTAAATTAGCGACCTGGATCCTGAAATAAGACCTTCCAACCAGATATATTTTGATTCACCCAGGTGTGTCTAATTACAGTAGATCTCCAAAAATGATGCAAAAGTCCCATGGGCCTCCGAACGGATTGGTCCACCCGTCGTGGCCCTTCCCCAAGTCAAGGTGGCCTTTTTTGCGGCGGCTCTATGATGCAGCAGTGATTCTGCAACGTGGGCAAAGTTAACATATTTGGTCAACCCAAGGGAGATACCCACCAACCTGAAGGTGTCCAGATGTTTGTCTGTCAGGGTTGGCACTTGGCACCAAAAAGTTCAACATGATGTTCAAGATGTTGATGACACGATAGAACATAGACTCGAGACTGATTCCATGGTCCGGTTGTTGGTTTCTTGGTTTGGCAGCCCTGGAGTGGGGTTGTTCAAACAAACACTGGCATGGAAGTACATAGCCCTTTAGAGGCTTCAGAAAACGGTCTAGGGGCACTCTGGCGGACGTTCACGCAAGAGACGTCATTGGTGTTGGTTGCTCAAGGGTGGCACCAATCTCTCTCAGGCGAACGGAGTTCGTGATCCTTTTGGAGCCAGACAACACGAGACTCGGTGTCTCTAGGTTTTGTTCACTCAGGAGTTGCGTGCTTTGAAACAAGCAACGCGACCAATCGCACGACGACAACGCTTTCCCCAAAAGAGGAATCAAACGATTGCAGTGGCAACAGCTGGTGACATCATGTGACATGGGTTATGGGTGCGTATTTGAGTAGGGAGACCCCCTGGCCCTGGCTGCCTGGCGGGGTAGACTGGTCGTTTGTTCCTTCTTTCCAGGGGGTCGAACTGGGAGGTCCCCCTATTTGAATACACACATGTACCATACCAGGACCCTCCAAGGGGTGCCCAATGGAAGCCTGTAGGTAGTGTGGGGTAGTCCATTGGACACCCCTTTGAGGGTCCAGGTATATCATATATCGATTTTCCATGTTGCTTGGCATGGACACAGGGAGTATCATGAAAGCAGTGCAGTTGCCCTTCCACACTTTGAGGTGTTCATCCTTAGTGGAAGCAACGGGTCTAGCAACCCCGCTTTGTTGGTCGATTGTTTGATTTTCTGAGCGTGAACCGTTTTATGTGTGCTTGCGTGTGGTGTTTTCCCGTCAGTGGGAGGCCCTTACAGGTCGAAGCTCCCCAAGGTGTTCAAGTCATCATATACAGTCATCATGACAACGTGGCCCATGTTGCGCTCTGTTGGGTGAAGTCATGTCAAGTCCTTCACTCTTGAAACAGGGTCAGCTTAGTGGTCAGCTTCGCTTAGTAACTTAGCCACCCTTAGCCCTTGGGTCTGTCCCATTACCACTAACAGTTGGTCAGCACATTCTTGAGAAAGGCCGTCATCATCCATTGTTGCTGGTAATGGGATAGACTGATAGACGCAACTTAGCCCCATATTGATCCAATCCTGGCTTGTTTTGCCACTCGGAAGATTCGTCGGACGGAATGGTCCACCTGAGGATCCATGGGCCCATCAAGAAGACGCCCGAGTTCGATGCCGGCGGCTTGCGCGTCAAGGAGCCCCGCTGTTTTTAGTCCATCGGGAGATCCTTAGGAAGCCTTGCTTCGAAGTTGGGGGGGGGGGTTGGGTTTTGAAATCCCTTCCCATTTTCACTACAGAATGGGCTCCCAAGAGGCCACTACTATAACGTGGGGGCTTTTGATAGTCCATTTTGATGCATTTTTCGGGCTGATTCTGAAGCTACTCCGGCGGAGTAGCAAACCATGTCCTGGCCACAGTTGTCTATGAACATCCTGGATCTCCTCCCACCTATGACCGTGGGCGTAGTATTCTCTGAGCTTCTCAGGGTCTTGGGCACGGAAGAGTTGCATAAGAAAGGCGAAAGCTGCCCACTGAGCTTGAATGTCGTACTCTTGCACGGTGGTGACTGACCAACAAATCATAAGGAAGTAAACACTCGAGGAGATTCACCATGGCTGCTTCGCAGTCATCTCCCTCCTCATTTTCAGCATCCACTTCCATCGCGATCGAATCCGTGGCTTTTTTGGCAGGCTTTTCCGAATCTTGCCACCCGCAGTCTTATGTAGCAAACATGGTGTGTGTCTTTCTTCTGCCGCACATGGTCGATGGACTTGCCCACATGTGCTTGTGATATCGAATTCTATGGACAACCTCACCCAGATATCGAATTCCATCGTCAATATATTTAAAGAAGTGTGTGATTATTGTTTATCACCAACTTGAATCTAAAGGCAAGTCAAGACGGCAAGAGCAATCCATCTGAATTGGAGCTGTTTGAAATAACCATTAATCAAGGGTTACAGTATGTTCATTGCAGCATCTACATGTTGAATACTTCTGTTGTCCAACATCAGTGTTATGCAACAAAGTTATTTCAGGCAAATGTTCGACCTATTTCTGGGGTTTTCTACGGATATTGCAGGGTTATATACACAGTAGTTATTTAACCATTGTTTCAATCTAGATAATCTAGTTTCAACGGGGGTGCGATTTTTGGGGGAGGGGTGTTGATTTTGATCCGTGGTTCATTGTGGTCCTCTGGGGTGTTCCATTGTCCATGCATCGTCAAGAGTATCAGCGGAATGGCCTTCGGACCCATCGCGCTGCTGTCGTTGAAACCGACGTCAGCACCCTTGCGAGGAGCAATCCTTTGCAGGCGCAGAGTACGTGTGGGACTTGGAGCCACCAGTTGTAGTGCAGGAGGTGGTGCAATGCCACAAGACGTCGCAAGACTAAAGAAACCATCGGCGTTTGCATTCTGGAAGGTTTAGAAGATGATGTTCCCCTTTCAACTTGTCGATTGAAGAGTGCTTGGTCCTTTTTCATGCGCTCACAGGGAATTCCCCACCATGATACTGGTTTAGCGGGGCATGTTGCTGTTGATTCGCAAGTCAATGTTGTTGTTTGTTTTGATGATTTTGTTGGGAATTGTTTTGATTGTTTGTTCTACGCTTTGGCCTGCACTAGACGATTGGTTGCTGCATGTTATTGTCAAGGCTGGAGTTGTGGGGATTTCAGAAGGTGGAACTAGGGAGGTATGGAGGGTGACCAAGCCGAGGTGCAACGCCTGGCACAGGATCGGCGCCCGGGCTTCAAGTGGACCCGAGTCAACCAGGAGGCACCTCAAACCCATCAAAATCCTTTGGAGTTGACCAGCACCAGCAATCAAACTACGGTACATATTTTGTACCAGAGCTCCCGGTTTGGGGTGGTAAATGGACACCCCTCAACCTCTAAGGGGCAATGTATTATGGACTATAGACACCCCTTAAAGGGGCACTCATTGGATAGCCTCCCCAACCTTGTTGGGGGACTGGTGATGTGATATCCCACTAAACAAGAACAGGTAGAAAGTTTGAGCTTCATTCGTGTCGTGTTTAATTCGTTTCTGGGATTTGCGTGATTACTTGTTTAGTCGATGTTCATCGTGCCGACCAGTGTGTCAGCGATGAAGCTGCAAGATGCAGCTATGAGTGATGCGAACGAGTCAGTGTATGTCTTAGATAGCTTTGTATAGGCAGTTGGAACAAGGACATCGTTGGACACCGTCCAACCTACTGACATGCTCCTGTTTCTCGCGGGAAGATAGGGAAGTCGGCATCCACTGCAATAATATGGCATGCTCTTCCATGGTGTGTCGGAGTGTATCAGGGTGACATCACAAGGATGATAACGACCCCCCCGAATTGGTAGCAAAAGCTCAATTTGGCATGTAGCACTTTATGGCAGAGAGTCCTTGGCTTGTGGGGACCGCCCCAGGTATGAGAATGCGGTTTGTTTGGTAGAGCAAAACCTGTAGAACATTGGTTCATAAATATCATGATTTTTCGTAGAGCTCAGCCGTGCTTTCTCAGCAGTATTTGGGGGTCATATTTATTTCCCCTGTATTTTGTATATGTCCCGCATTGGTGAAGGAATCCCTGAAGGCTCAGGGCGATGACTGTAAGATAAGAGCCTCGTGAAGCAACTTGCCTAATTAATTGACATGAATTGACCAGCTTGGAAATTGGTGTCATTTTCTGAGTGACATTAGAGTGTTTGTGCATTCTGTTTCCTGCAGCTTTGCAAGTCCTAGCTGCCAGGCTGGCCTTTGTGGGGGCTCCTATTATCGTACTGCCGCTATCCTGGATGCCTTTGCAGACGAGAGCCTTGGCCCGGAGGCATACGCGGCAGTATCACATAGTATCACAGATCGATGGCTTCTACACTTGATGTTGACTTTGTTTGATATAGTGCATTATAGAATATTATAGACATGTTTGCCTTGATGTTGCCCGTTACCCAGGGCAGAAAGGTGTTTCAAGCTCCATGGCTCCATGAAGTTCCGAATGGTTCATGGCTCCATGAAGCTGAGTGTAGTACCTGGAAAGCGGCAGTGGATTGCCACGCTGCGTGGTGTCTTTGTGTCATTGCACTCGACCCTATAGCTGGATGGAGTCCTTCTTTTTCCACGACCAACCCTGGCTTTGTATCTCATGAGTATCTCAATTCTCAAGGCCGAGCCATTCCGAGCGAGGGAAGTGTTGTGTGCAAAGCTTGCAGCACCAGGAATGTTGCCAAGATCGACTGGAATATGCTCGGCGAGAAGTTCAGCAAGGACATCACGAGATGCTGATTTGGTGAGTGAATGTTGCGGTGTTCTTGTCTATGTTTCCAATCCATCCAGATACCTTCTTGGACCTTTCTTCCAAGTTTGGTTGAACAGAGAGCCCTGGGCATTGCTCGTCTTTTGCCTCGAACGGTTGAGCCCCCAAAAAACGGGCGGGATCCAGCTCGGAGCTTGGCAGGGCCCTTCTGAGCTCCACTAGGTCCAGTTGCACGGCGGTGGCTCCTTGAAACCCTCTTGAGGATCTGCTGGTGGACCCAGTTCAGTTGGGGTGATGGACTGGACCGTAGGCAGCGAGGCCGTTTACTTGGTCATCTAAGAAATGCTCAATCAGACGAACCTGGCGCCAGGCTGATGTCAACTTTGGCTCATGATGAAAATCAGCCACAGAGCTTCAACCCATGACCAGGCCGATCTTCAGAGAAGCTAAGCATACAACAGAATTGATCAGTGAGCTTTCCTTTGGAGGATCCCAAGCCGAGCCGCTATCTCAATAGGTCAGCAGCTTACCTAAGGGCAATCTCTCAAAAAGTTCTGTTGCATGAGATGCCCTGAGATCTCTGAATACCTCATGCAATCAGCAGTATTGAAGTTTATTGGAGTGTGCCTGAGATGAGCAAACCAAAAGGATCCAACCACACCGACCACACCCATATTTGCTCCAATTCCCGATTCCCTCTACTAGGACATGTGGAAGTTGCTCGGTTTACTCGGCTGTTCCACCAAAATTCTTCAGCCCCACCACTCGGTCGGTCTAGTAGTACCACGTCGGTCTACTCATGGCATACCAACGTGGCTGGAATCGGTTGCAGAGCTCGCCCCACTGGAAGCCCTTGGAGAAGTTCAAGAATGATCCCATGCAGCTCGAGCTTAGCTGCGCTGTGAAGTGGAGCTTCGTTGGTTTCGTTCAAGGGGAAGGGTGCACTAGCCGAAGGATGCAGAAAGAGGATCCTGGAGTCCTGGAACGAACACATGAAGTGAAGTCCACGTGACTTTGATAACCACCATCATCCACTGTTACTGGTTATGGGATATATCCGAGGCATACCGTATGATACCGTATGCACATGTCAACTTCAAATGGGCGGACAGCAATCACTAGTGAAGAACTGAGTTACTTCGAGGTCATGCAGTGGTGCAGGCAAGCGCGATCTGATAGGATTTGCAAGTGCATGTTGGATGGTGTTTGAAGGCTTGGAGGTTAGGGAAGTCGAGTTCAACCCCTGCTGGTAAACGAGCATGTTCTACTCGCATGGTATTCCTTGGAGTGCAACTTGTATTGCATTGGCACAACACTGTGTACCAAAACTGAGGCGTTTGGAGCTTGGCTTCGGGACTGATGTCAACAGCACAGGCCGAGAGGATATACGACAGATTTGCCCCTCGCCCGATGCCAGAATTGTTTTGGGATGCATTTTCTGTTTGCCCATGCAGCAGGATGTACACATGGACTCACCAAGATGGAAGCCTAACAGCCAGGAGTTACAAAACGGGGTGCCGAACTTGGAGGATAGGGGTGGCCATGATCCATTCACTTAGGGACTAAAAACCATCCTTTGTGACTCCTGGAGGCTATATCTTCGGTCGGTCTTTGAACAAGGCCTGCAACTGAACCATCATAATCCACTGCTACTGGTAGTAGGATAGACCCAAGCCAATGTAGACTCTTGATGAATAACCCCCCATATGAAGAGGTGTTTATTAATCAAGAGTCTACATTATATATATATGTATATCATATGAGTGTGGCCGAGGGCCTTGAATCGGATCAGGCAAGCACATGGGCTTGAACTTCCGCTGCGTGGGCGATGGCACGCAGAAGCGCATCATGGCGTTCCTCGGGTCTGTGGAGGTGGTTTCCGGACCATCCATGTATGGCAACCTACTTACAACCACCCCGTAGGTATACGGTATACATGGAGTGTCAGTTGAGGGCTTGGTATGGCTTGGTGGATGCACTTTGATCCGACCTTCACAAGAATTGCAAGCATACGGCCAGACGGACGTGCCTAGAGGAACGTGTCGCCGCTCGTTGTTGAGCAGATTTGAGCAGTTGGTCTTTGAGAAACATACGAGCAGTCAGTGTCTCAGTCGGTCGTGTTGATCGGTTTCAGCATGACAGCTCAATTGGATGCCCCTTGGCATGTGCACTGACTCCCCCCCAAAACAGGGCTTTGGGCTGGTTTTTTTCGCGTATATCCAACTGATGTTGAACCTCAGGCCCATGAGGCACTGAGTCCGAGCCTGTGAGATGTCCAGATTGCTGGGGATGGATGACCACTAGCATCACTTATGTAAGAATCAGCAGTTGCAGGATTTGTCACGCCAAACAAGTGAAGCCAGTCTCACCGACGCTCACGGACTAACTCACTTCGATGACACATGGCTCATGTGATCTAGGTTGAAGCTGGACATCATCCGGGAGCGCAAGCGTGCAGAGGAATTGGCCTTGGATGCACCACGTGCAGTGGCGGGCTTCTACCGCGGAGCATTGATGCTTGGTCGTTCCGGTCGGCTCCCGGGGGTCCGGGGGTCCGCCGCTTTACGAGGCAACTGCCCTTTACACATCTTTACACAGGCCATGTTTGGAGCGTGTGCTGACGCCATGTTTCTCCCAAAACTCAGATTTTCTGAGCCAACACTTATGACCAGCATGAATGAACCATGTGTGGAGTAGCTTGAGTTGCAACTGCGCTGACTCTGTTTTGTTTAAATGTTTTTTTTAGTGCTCCTGCCGTCGCAAGACCATGTTTTTCGGCAAGGAATGCTTTGCCCGAGACAGAGAAGTACCGCATCAATGCACTTTTTGTGCAGTTCTATGGTCCCATGGCTGATCATGGCTGTGATGCAGGGCGGGCATCGAAGAAACGGAGTTCACTTTTTGCTCAGTCTCGACTGAGCCAGTCGGGTGGCAATGGTTTCCTGAAGGCACCTGGGAGATTCATCCTCCAGGTATCCAAATAAAAAGAAAGCCAACCCTCCTGCTCGTCGTTTGTGCGATTGCATGCAGCTGCTTGCCTTGAAAAGGTTCATCAGTTGTCCAAAGCTTCACCGGCTTTAGAAACTGTTATATATATATATATTGTGTTTAGTGTTTGACAAAAGGGGATACGGGCGGTAATGTTGAGTTTTGACGGACAGGGGTTCGTCTGTACACGCGGAAATCGGATCGTCTGTACACGCGGTGACGGGGATCGTCCATACACGCGGCTTCCGTATGCGGGGTGCCTAAACAGTGTGGCCATACTTTGGGTTCTTACGGTAGGTGCAAAGGCCGGGTGTTGATCCAGGTGCTCAGATGCGTGTGAGCCCCCCCCCCCCCCCCCCCCCCCCCGCACCCTTACTTCAACATTGGGATATTAGATATGAATGCTAGTCGAAGTGAGCGTCATTAGCCGCACCCCACCTCAGATTTGTGTGCGCAGATGATCCAAATCTGTGTGCGCGGATGATCCTGGCTGTTAGCGCAGATGATCCTGATCTGTGTGCGTAGATGATCCCCTGTCCGTTTTGACCCATCAGTTTAGGTGGTTGAAATAATTGTTCCTTATACAATTAATAATATTATGGCTAAGCTACTAAAGTTTTTATGGTTTCATCCCACCAAATGAGATTGCGCGGCCTTTCGGAAAAAGTGTAAATCACCTACATGGTTAACTTCTGCATTTGTCCTTTTTGTAGTGTGGCCGAACTCGAATTGCCTTTGCCAGCCTTCCCAGGTGGTGACCGCGCCTGGTCCTTGGGTGAAGCCTATGCGCCAGAAGCCTTGCAAGCCGAGGAGGAGGAGAACTTCCACCCCCACAGCCCAACGGATTGCCCTTCTCAATCATCCAGATGTTCTACATTTATCCATTGGCGCGTGCGTGTATTATGACTCGCCTATACACTATACACATGTGACACGGTCGGGCAAACGATACAAATCACGTTGAGGTCAGGTTTGATGTCAATGTGTGTTTCTCAAGCTGCCACGTGGACGCAAGGACAGGTTGCTTGATTTAAAGGTGCCCAACCAGTAAAGACTTGGTTGCTTTCAGGTCGTTGAGGTGGAGTAGTTTTCAAGGCTGAACCGTTGGTCAATTTTGCCGTGAGGAGCGCCGTGAGAAGCGCCGCAAGACCGGCGAGGAGCCGGAGTCCTCCGACGAGGACGTGGAGGAGATGCTCGGCCGCTTCGAGACCGTCCGCCAGGCCGCGGGGGCGCGTTGGAGCGTTGGTCATCGGTGAGAGGAGGTTGGAGAAGACAGGACAGTATTTGTTTGGATGCCAAACGTCAGTTCTAAGGTGTTTATACAAAAACCAATGCAAAATGGATCAAAAGGGTAACATTACTTTAGTCAACTAAACATTTAGTAGGGCAAGTGGTGAATGGGGTTAGTTGATAGTTAGTTACAGTGATCGAGTTGATGTTAGTATATGTTAGTTGACATGGTGAGGTACGAGATCACCCAGAATCTTCCCAGAATCCACCACATAGATTGGAGATGTTCCTTCCTCTAACGGATCCACCTGATGCATTGCTGTAGGGCAAGTTCCAGGGGTTTGGGGTTCCAGTGTGACATGAAGTGGGTCCCAGTCATTTGGGGTGTGACGGGGGGCAGTCAAAAGCATTGGGCCCTGGTGAACGGGTCAGCTTTGCGGCCAGGCCTGATCGAGCAATCGGGCACAGCAACACGCCAGCGTTGGACGGTGAAAAAGAAGAGCGGTGAGCGGTGAGTTGTTGGATTTTGTTGCAATTGCTGAAGAGAGTAGTTGTTGGATTGCTGATGATTGCTGATTACTGGTAAATTGGCTTGCATGGCTGGTGGGTCCAAATCCGTAGGACGCCTGCTACGGGATGCTTTGTTTCGGAAAGCGGTGGTGATAGAACTGGTGGGGGAGCTACAGGGAGGTTCCCTAACCACCAGCCAGTTGTAGTTGCATGATTTGGCTGACTCCCAAGAGTACTTCACAGGAGATCTATTCTTCAGATTTTGCCATGCAGTGGCTTGGCAGAGCTAAGTGGTGGATTCCAGGATGACTTGGTATAGGAGAGCGGCTCAACTTACTTCAGCTTCAATGGAAGCATATTTGGTTGGTGATTTCCCCGCCCTGTTATAGAGCAACGTTCATCCAATCAATGTGTTGCTTTGGATCTGTGCCTTTGCTCGCCAGACAAGGAGAACAGATACACTTGATGCATTCCCGGTGTGGAATTGGGAGCAGTGGAAAAATCGCTGCAAGGACCATGGTGTTGGTTCCTGCAGGACGCCTTTCTTTAAACCAAAGATACATGGCCATGACTCAAAATGTGTTTTGTGACCCTGTGTTGGTGGGACAAAGAAACCTATCGCCAGAGAGCCTCCCAATAAGACATCCACAGGTTGCAACCTTGCAATGTGTGTTTGAGAGGGACATCATGCTTTCCATGGCGACCATTGCATTCGGGCGAAGATGCTAGATATGAGAGAACCCAGGGTTGTTACAACGTTTTGTGTGATTACCGACAGTGTATTCATGCATTGACATATATGCCGTGCCTTTGTTTTGATTCTTGCCGTGCGCATAATCATTTAATGATAATCATTGTTGAACAATCTAGTTCTGTCGAAGATGACCAGTTTAACAGCCAGACCCACAGATATACCACAAGAACATATGCCTTGGCGAGGTTTGCCCTGGCGGCAAGGGGCTGGACGATCATGCCCTGGGAGGAATCCGCTCAGATGCACGAGGACAAGGCCTGGAAGCTCTGTGGTCAAGGATGTGACCACCCGGCAGGTTCAACGAGTTGTTGAGAGGCCTCTAAGAATCGAGAACCATGTAGAAGCCTCAATATGCAGCTATAGCAGATTATATGCATATATATATATAGGAATTCCCTCCCAACATGTATTTGTTGAATGCATAGGTAGAATGCATTTGTGTAACCATGCAATGTTTGCAAACTTATATAGATATACTAGCACAATTTGACAAAATACAAATTTCTTGTTAGTTATCCACACCTGGGGGTTGTATCCCATGTTTGTCGCCGAGGAGGTTCCCATGTCTGGACCGAAAGACGCCGCCTTCCGCCACTACTCCGGGCCCGTGGGAAAGCCGACCTATGCAGCTTGACCCGAGCCACCGATGAAGCCCGGGAGGATCCGTCAGGTTTGGGGGTGGAGAACCCGGGAGCGACAAAACCAACCCATCTAACATCATCCTAATGCAACCTTGGATAGATGATGTCAGGTGATGGTTTGGTATATGTATATGTTCAACCCTTACTTGGGGACGATTGGACCCAGATGTGCATTGTTGATATTCTTTTGTTTGCATGTTGGTTGAGAGGATCCTTCCCGCAGGATTCTGGGATCTTGGCTGGGAGGAACTTTGGACAGATTCTGACGACTCAGGAGCTGAAGTGGAAGAAAGAAGATAGCCACCTGGAGATTGCCCAGGGGGATGGCGGAGACTTACCTAGCTGCGGCCTTGGGGAAAAAATTGAAAAGAAAAAACATGCAAGGGCCCTTTTTGGGGGATGGGTGGTCCAACACTGAAGAGGCAGTGACATGAGAAACATGTGTTTCCCATGTTAGTTGTGTGTTTCCCAGAAAATGGACGGGGTCTCGCCACAAAAAAAAGGCCCAAATGGAACCTGAAGGAGCCCATGTGGCGAAGTGGTGTTTCAGTGCGGCACAGGTCCTTGGCCCAAGAGACTCGGTTCAGTTGCAGACGGGAAGAGAGTGGGGAAGAGGTCAAAAGCGATGGAGGATGGGATCATGTTGGGTCATGTTTGTATAACTTATTGTAATGTAGGGGATGGAGAGTAATTAAACAGTACAATCCTTGAAAGGGTTGTATATGTTTTCCAAAATAGACTTTGGGGATTGTGTCCTCTACTCTCAATCCACTGTAAGTTGTCGCCATGCTTCGTTGGCTTTGACTCCTGCTTTTTTCCGCGTTGACACCGCTGGACTGCCTGACCGACAAAGGCAAGTTGGCGAAGGAGCGGCCAGCGAAGTATCAGGCTGTGAACGTGGGGGGGGTCTAGGGCTGGGTAACATTTTGCCTATGCATCTCGGACCGGAATTGCATCTCTTTTGGTCTTTGAATTAAGCTGACTTGAGCAAAAGAGTGCGTGGACGGAGTTGTGGTGGAGCAGTCTTGCAAAGCCGTCAGTAGAAACCGAGATTCGCCTGGCCGGTTTCAATTCCGGCACAATACTTCCCCGCAACAAGGACTAGACCACTAGCCCGCAACCTGAACTTGATGAACCAAACCCGGTGCATTCTTTTCCTTTTGCGCCAGGGCAAAGATCCGAACTGCCAAGTTTGTAGCTGGACTGGACAGATCATGGCTGAACTGAAGAATGTCGGGCAAGGAACGCAGGACTGCGCAGGGAATGCTAGGGCTGTTTTTTGGGTCCTGTGCATGTCATTTCCTCATGTGAAAGTGAGGCGTGCCATCGTTGATATTTCCATATATATATATATATATATATGTCCTCAATGTCCTCTATTTACCTTGAAGCCGCATGCTTAGAAGAACTCCCAAACGCCGGGATAGTCAGGGGAGATACTTTGTTTGGATCCATTGATCCCTATAGACTTTCTATAGCAGGAACATGTTTCTTCCAGCATGTTCAAAGACCAACCACGGAACCTGTAGTGAATTTACTTCATTCCCTTGCACTTGCAGCAAGGGCCTAAAGAGAATACTGAGAATATCTGAGAATACTCTCCTTGTTGAGTCTTGTTCTTTGCACCAGTGATTTCGCCGGTATAAATCTCCATGTCCAAAGCCTTCTGGATCCGGTTAGAAGGCGTGCGGCCGTGGAGGGCCTTCCGGCTGTCCGGAGGGGTCCCTTGCAGGTTCGGAGTCTCGGTCGAGCCAAGGCTACAGCTTTCAACGCTACGTGGAGCTATGGGGCTCTTCCAAGTGTACCAACAGCTTGCCCTTCGAGCAGCTTGGCGCTTGGCTTGGGGGAAAGAAGCGACCCGGACGCGGTTTTGCGAGCTTGTTGTTGTTTTGGGCGAGCCTTTGTGAAACAAGTCTTGGTGTGATCACCCGGAATTGGATGGAGGAGGTAAATATTTATACTGTATCAAGCACAAATAGTAATCTTTATGAGAGTACTTAGCTGAGCCTCTCCATCCTCAAGTCCTCAAGAGTAACTGAGTACCTGGGCTGGTCAAGCCCGCCTTGATGGTGATCCATCCTTTTCCCCAATCCATGGCACCGTCTAACTCCTGGCCACAAGCAAACATCCACTGCCAAGTTCTAGTTCTATATATGGGTACCCATATAATAAATAAACGTATGCCAAGTGACCGATTGCCCTGCCACTCTTTTGTTCAGGATAATTTCCACATGTTATGTGTCCACGATCCTTTTGCAACCGCCAGATGCTCAACCAAGAAGATACATGCTTTCCCTCAAGGCCAATACAGTTACTTATAAACAGCAGAAGCAGACAGAGCAAAGACCGCAATGGATTCGAATCACCCTTGCTCATCATCATACTATCATAGTCCATCAACTTTAACTTTGACCAAACAATATGGAACACATCCCAGCATTGCAAGTGGCGAAACAAAGCTCCCGGCCGTGGCATCGCCATTGATGGCTCTCTTGGGAATGCCTTGCCGTCAGGTATTCAGATCTCCTGCTGCAGCGATATCACCCCAAGCTCCAGACATCGGAGCCATGCCATCCAGACATCGGAAGCCTTTGTGGCCTGACATCGGTTTGAGTCAATTCTAATTCTCAGTCAGTGTCAAGGTGTGGTGGGCAATGACATGTTGATTGTTTGGTGCTGCTCCGTTCTTCCTTATACTTCCTTATACAAGCTTGGTTCAAGATATGGATATACGTTGTTGTTGGGACATCAGCTTGCCTATCCCCACCAATGAGATCGGTGGATGACCAGTTGTGCTAGTGTGCGTGGCTGGCTGTCGCTTGATGCTCGGCTCGTTTCGTTCCCTCCAGGACACCAGACCCCAAAATTGTTACATTGATGTAATTCTGATGTATTATTTTCATGTGGAAGATTCCCAAGATTCGGAACAGGGATGGAAGTCTTGAAGTCTCCCCATATCCTTCATCTCGCAACCGGTCGAAGAATGGCCAGGTGAGCCTGGGAAGTTGCATCCTCGCTACAGCACCACGGGGACCACATCCAGACCAGGCAGTGCTGCTTAAGTCACCAAGCTGTGTCGAAGAAGTGCGCACTCAGCTGCTGCTGGGTCCTACGTCCTACACCTACCTGCGCATGGAGGGGTCCACTTCCCTGTGACTGCAATCTTCAGGAGTGCCATGCATTCCCATTCTTCCAGATGTTGTGAGTGTTCGCGAAAAGGGTACCCCCCCTTCGCGAGCTGTTGTGAGTAGATATGAACCGACTAATTTTGCATGGAAAAGGGACGGGGAAAAACAACTGGTAGTGCCTCACAGAAAACAAAATAGACAAAAACATTATTACTATATATATATATTATATATAGATATAGTTAGACTCATAGAAAATGTCATCATTGCTTTTGTGACTCAATTTCCAGGGGCTTGACTTAGATGTGTAGGTTCACCAAGGGAAGGTAGACAGTTGAACAATCCATGTCCTCAAGAACGTATGACTGACATAGAGGCGTTGTGCAGGAATTTGTACTCTTCAGTTTACAGCAAGACTAGCAAACAAAGCCTCCATATACAGCAAGACTAAAACAACTGGGTCCACGGCCTCAACTGTTGGATGCCTCGCTTTATTAAGCGCGTTTCACCTCCGTCCTACGCGTGCACAGGCAGTGAGGCGTCTCAGCCCCCCATCCACGACAGGCACAGGCAGGAAAACGCTCAACGACGATCACCTCTGTGAGGGAGGCCTCCCTCACAGAGGTGATCGCCCTCTTGCACCGCGCGTCACGTTATTTGTATATGGTAATAGTCCAATGGTCCAAGAAGAAAAGGGCCAAAGGGAAGAAACAGGTATATACCAGGAAATCAAGAAGGTCATGGTTTGTTCACATCGTCGTGTCGGGGTCATGGCACGGGGTTAAGAGAGTTTGAGGAGCATGTTTGTCATGTTGCGCGCAGGAAACCATAATAGGACATTCTTCAGATTAGAAATGGGGTTATAGGTCAATACCAGGATTTATAGTTTAATGTTATTCATGTGATGAAGGGGTGCATCAGCCTCAGCTTCAAGGACGTTAGAAAAAGACATTGGTCCAGGATTCTAGAAAGATTTGTGCCAGAAACATAACTGTCAACCTTGCAACAACAATAAGGAAATGACAGCCCGGAAGGCTTCTATTAAATAGATTACTGAGTACCATGTTTAGATGAGGTGTTCTTCAAGTCAAACTTAACGCCTTGTTCGATCTTCTTCCCCCATCGCACTACTAAACCTGCTACAACATGTAATGTTCAATCATCCATGATCATTCTGGATGGTTTTCAATGATCGTAAAGTAGCAGGGATACCACAGAGGTAAGGACAGAGACTAAAGTAGAATGCGCTTTGGGTTGGTCGTTGCTGTCAGATTTGCAAGAAGGCTTTTTTTTGGGGGGGGGAGAAGTTTCATAGACCTCGTGTGAAAAACACTGAATTATTCATCATCAGCTGCAGAGCTGAAGGCTGACTGCAAGGCAATAAGAGTGGACAACAAAGACTTCTACATAGCAACCTAATTACGTATAGCCCCATTTCATTCTGTGCCACATCCCACTTCTCTCCCACCACACTGAGCTCAGAGAGTCATGCAGGTGGAACTTGAAGTGAAGTGCCCTATAAGTCCTATGAGCCTATGAGAATGATGAGACATCAGTATCAGACCTGTCTCAAGTCTTGAAGAACATATTGATTCTTGGGTAAAACCTATCAGACACCATCCATCCACCTGTCAGACCCTTCAGGATCATCCCTAGCCCTTTTTTTGGTGTTTTCGCCCTTAATTGCCAGGTCTTGCTCCTAGTTCGGCTCCTGGATCCATCTATGGTTTCTACCTGCACGTCTTTCAGTCCCCGGCAGCGGTGATTTATCAGGCTCAGCATCGACTGATGCATCAAACAATCACCTAAAAGACCATATATATAAAGAAGCTCGTAGCAAAGGGCCTCTGGGCATCGCGACTCGAACGGAGCGATGCGGACGCTACGAACGTAGCTCCTGGCATGACTACTAGTAGCTAAGAAGCTACTATATATATATATATAGCTAGGATTCAAACAACCATTGTTTTATTTTTAATGGTCTTTACCAAAGAACCATTGTTTTACTAAGGATGGGGTATATATATATAACAATATAGAAAGATAATGAAACACGGGCGAGTCTTCGAACCAGTTTCCGGGCAAGTCTTCGGGCCGATCACGGGCTTTGTTCGCGAGAAATCCGTGGTCGATCGTCCCGACTCTGGTGTTTGGTCGTGGTCCACGACTCAATGCCTCTTGCAATGCTTAAAGTCACCTGTTATCACCTGGTCATCCAGTGGTCGTGACAATTTCTCTTGAGAAGGTTTGCCAATCCTTTGATGGTCGTGCTGCCTGTGCTGCCAACGTTCGAACTGACGTGGTGCCAGGTTCGAAAGCTCAAAGAAGTGTTCCCAGGATCACCGATCCACATCATGAGCTGCTTGGATAGGCGCCAGGCATGGCATCGTGAGACCTGAGCACATGGTTGGTTAGTTGCAATTCCTTTTTGACTGCAGGATCGTGACACTTGATGCGATCTCGCGAGCCCTGAACAAGTTTGATGGCGCCAAGGTGACGGCGGAGCAGACTTTGGGCCTTTGTGCCAACAAGAAGGCCATATGGACATGTCATGGTTCTAAGTTCTATGTTCATTGCGTGTTCTTTTCGCCACGGAGAAGGAGAAAGACTTGACATTTGGCATTCAGTACTATGCACTGCATAGTTTAACAGGTGTGAGCATTTATCGGTCGAGTTGATAGGTCAATTCAGTGTTTGTTGGCTTAATATAAGATGGCATAAGATAGTACATAGTATAGTACTTTTATGGGTAGAAACCGTAGGTTTTCAGACAAAAATCATGTCCAAGGACAACCTGTTGTGAATGATAGCTGGCAGTACGGGATGTTTGCCATACTGCCATCATTGTTACTGACCCACCGGCCTCTCGTGATACCACCCCGTACCATCTATATTCACCGAACATCGGATGTTGGACGGTGTCCGGTGCCGCAGGTTGTACCTTCAGCATGTGTCCACCGGCCAACGATCGCTGGCATCCCTGGCCCTTCTTCCGAAGGCACCTGCGGGCTAGGAGTGAGCCGCCTGGTGGAAGCCTTCCCCGTGCAAGACTGGTTTTCTTGTCATGCACACCCTAGATGGACTCTCACCCGGTTTGTCATGATGTTGAAGAGGGTGGAATTGGTTCGCACATGGCACGAGATTGCAAGAGTCACCCCTTTCCGAAGGCTGGGCGTCCAGGTCCGGATTGTGGACGGGACCGTTTCGGCAGGCTCTATGACGCTGCGGTGAGCTTGAAGACGGAATTTGTGATCATGTTTCTGGGCTTGAGCATGGTTGAGCATGCTGCACGGGAGACCTTTTTGGAGACATTCCAACTCAAATTTCAGTGATTGATGGCTGCACAATGATGTGTGTTTGGTAGTTTTCAACAAGTTTTTTTTGTTGTGCGATTTGGGCCAAGAGTTCCTAAACTAAACAGCTGGTCTACAGTCCAGCCTTTGATCTGTGAAGCCCATCAATTGCAAGGGTCGTTGGTTCACCAAAGACGGGGGTCATCGGTAGAGAAGAGCTCGTTGGTTCTCAGGTTTCAGGGCTGAATTGGAATGAATCAACATCTATGGTGCCTGGCCCTTATATAATCAACTAGGAGGTAAGTAAGAAAGCCTCAGAGTTTCAACTTTTGCCAACCTTGTGCAACGCTGGTGCTGGGCTTGAGGCCCGACCCACTCGACCGGAGGCCCTGACTTCAGATGCACTGAGGTTGGAGCCTGACAATACGACGCGCAGCTGAAGAGGTCGGGTGGCGCCCCATGGAGAGCGCATGGAGAGTTTGCGCCAGTTGGATGTCAGTGGCAGGAAGACCTCCCTGCCAACCTGCATCTTTGGGGAAATTGCTTGCCTGGAATAGATGAACTGGTGGACAATAGCACAATCTATGTTGCAGGGGAACTGAGGGGCTGTTCATACAATAATAATTGCAGTTTGACCTGTCAAGCCAACCTCAATGACCTTTTCACCACAACGGGGAATTTGCACATAAACCACCGGCAGCTCTCAGTTCCTGTACCAATCCATGAGAGCTGTGAACATCTCCGGGGATATTGACTTACTGGAAGCAACTTCGGCAATTCAACAAAAACACGAGATGAGAACAAAAACCTCGCAAATCAAATACGATTGCCTTGTCAATTGATTCTCACTTCGTTCTTTCTGCTCGCTCCAGAAAGTGCCGCTTTCCCGAGACCCATCTGCCGCCACGCTCTCCCGGGCTCTCCCAACCCATGCAGCGGCGAATCTCCGCGGCGGCTGAATCCGAGGATCCACGGTCCCATCAAGAAGCGTCCGCAGTTCGATGCGGGCGGCGTGCTGGTGCGCGACCGCAGCTTTGCCGGCGCGGATTATGTGCCGCGGACGGGGAAGGATGGAGGTGGGTTTGCTCCCGCGGTCAACGCTTCGCTCGCGGGAGGTGCTGAGGAAGGGAGTTGCTGCAGTCAGGCAATTCGGCCTTTTTCAGACATGATCCATTGGACACTGGGAGACATGTGCCAGCTGCTTCGTTGCCGGGTCACCTCGCTGGACATCCCTACACCACTTATAGGTCTCCAGACTCCAGACAGGACACCCATTGGATGATCCTGGTGGAAATAGTTTTCAAGATGTGAAGACAGTGCTTGCTTGGCCCCTGCAGGCTGGAGAAAAGGACTCTTTTGGCTGGGAATGCTGGAAATCCAAGTACTGAACAGTTGCAACCCGGTGAAGACACAGGTCAGTTTCAGAAGATTTTTGGTCATTTCGGGGCAGTTAGCACGTGGTGGTTTTGGCGAGTTTTGGTGTGTTTTGATAATTTGTCTCAGAGACGGGCAGTTTATATATATATATATTATATAATATATATTGTAATAATATGTAATATAGTCTATAGATGTCTATAGTATAATATATCGTATCTATCTACTGAAATAAATGCATTTCTCTTCTTGATCCGTTTTTCGCCAGCCAGGGCAAAGAAGTCCGCACAAACTGTTAGCCTGCTGGCTGATACGTGAGGATACATGCATCTAACTAAGCACCAGGTCGTCAGGAACTACATTACTACACGGCCCTGTCGAAACGAGGCAGCTCAAACTCTATTTTTAGTTGGCATATGTTGGCATTGTCATTGCGGTTCATGTTAATTTAACGACTAAGTTGCTTAGGTGGAGAAGCTGGCCAAGAAGAGAGTCTCAGGGTACAAGAAGCTTGGCTCCTGTCAAGTTTTGAAGTCCTGTTTGGGTTTGTTTAGTCGATGTGAAGTTGTGAACATTTTAGTCTGGAGGATAATGATCGGATAGTCGAATAGTGCAGCCTGGGCAAGGAGAAGTCATTGATCGGCACTGAAAGATGTGTTTTGCAAGATGTTGAACTGTCACTGTTACACGGCATGGGCCATCGATCATGCGTGTGATCCTGAGGTGGACCAAGAAGAACCAACAGGTGCCCTTGTTTCACATGCAGGGAAGCACGATTTGTTGGCAGCCGTCAAGGTTTTTCACTGATGCATCACATAATGAACATGCTTGAATGTTGCAACATTTGCCGGCAATGGGCAAGTGTGACATTTGCCAACATGGGAGAGTAGGTTGATGTTCAGGTTATCACCATGAACATGAAACAATGATCAAGGATAGCAGCCCCTTCCTGATCTTCCTTTTCATCATCCCGACTTCTCCTCCAGCAGTGTCTTTTTGAACACTGATCTCCCTGAACTGTTGCTTTGGCAACTGGGCTGGTGATTTGACAAACATTGTTGGCTTCTGTGAGGAGTCTTTACAGTCCCCTTATACTGACCACAGAGTCTCTTAACCTATCCTGGCATACAAACGATTGGCTTCTGTGAGGTCGTTCCCCCCCCAAATCCCTGAGATTTCGGGCTCCTGGGTTCGAAGTGACCAACGGTCCGCTGTTGTGGGAGGGTGCGACGAAAGCCACATCCGAGCCGACGAGCCGAGCGCGAAACTGGGGCAACGAAGGGGTGATGGGCTGTTTCGCAGATTTCTGGCACTGCCATCCCATGCTATAAGAAGTTTGGTGGAACCTGGATTCCCGTGCCGTCCCTTCTGTACCGGGGTGAAATAGGCGGCAAAGCGGGTGCTCGGAGGCCCACCAGGAAAACCAAAATGGACAAGCCGCAGCAAAAACACTGCCCAAACCCCTCAGCTTGAGCAGTGGCAAAACCCAAAAAGCCTTCAGCCCCCCGACAGCTCCGCTACGTCCGCCGAGCGGTGGGAGGGAAGGGAAGCGCGAAAAAGCGCGAGCGAGGGAACGCCCGCTGGGCGCTGGTGGTCCCGCGCCAGGCAGGACTCTGTGGTGGCTCCTACTACAAACGTGAAGCAATTCTAGATGCACTGTCAGATGAGCGTGTGGCCGAGATAGATTGGTGGCTCGCCACTAGCGGCTAGTGCTCGTTGGAAGGAAGATTTTGCTCGCCCAAGTGGTTGGTGTTGTTCTTGGCGTGCATCATCGCACGTAAGGATTTAGCTGGAAGTTGGTACTGCCCGGGGCTCTACTACATGGGGTGCCGTTTGACAACGCCAGTGACCTGCGGGGCACGCTTGGGCCATTCCCCAGAAAAGAACGTGCACCGTTCTCTGAGTCGGACCTTCTGGGTTTGTTGCACAGTGTGGCTTATTCAAACCCAGAGTAGTCTTCTGTTACTTAAGTCTTTTGACCTTAGTGTTGCACTTCAGTCTTAGTCTTTATATGGACTGAAGTAGAAGACTAAGAAATGTCCCCATTGTGCTACGCTAGGCCGTGCACTGAATCCGCCGCCCAGGAACATGCTGGGTGAACGCTTCACCAAAGAGATCTACTCCTCCGACTTCGCTCTTCAGTATGCCTTGGCTGCGAGAGGCTGGACCATCATGCCCTGGGAAGAAGCAGCGCAGATGCACAACAGCAAGGCCAGTTCATGCGCGTGGGGGGAAAGGGGGTCCGGACATGGAGGTCCTTCATGTCGTCAGGACTCAGGACCTGAAAACAACAGGGTTTGACATTCGATGTATAAACAATTATAAACAGCTTGGTAAGTCGGGTTCATCCATGTTCTTGAGAAATACCCGAATACATGTTGTCACTCTGTTTGCAACTGGTCGTCGCTTTTTTCAAAGAAGGATCAGGACATCCTCGCAGTTCTTTTTCCTGAATTTCCTTTCCCTACACCTCCAAGTACCTCCTCAAACGGTATTTGTACCCTCCAACTTAGAAGGTGCTTGGAGCCCTAGGGTTTGGCAGAGCATTGGATCCATGGACATTTGTTGCTGTTGGGGGGGGGCCCAACTTGGTCAACACGTAACTTGGTTCGGAACCACTGAGATGTTGGAGAGAAATTGCATGCCCCCAAGAAGCCAGAGGTTGTTTGAGTGTAGTACATTTTATGTACCCTACTGACATGAGGCTAGACAACATGACAGTTGTGTAATGTTTTGTACATAAAATGTTTGCAAAGAATGGCAAAGATATGTTCAATAAAGACCTGCCATTCAAAAATTGATAAACAATTGGGTTTTGTGGAGGTACCATTTATGATATCGTTTGGGAGTATCAAGACCAATTCGGCCATGTTGATGTGTTTCGAAGTTAGTTTGGTCTGGCCTGCAGGGGTTCCTCCTGTTTTGGCATGCGTTCGTTTATATACATATAATATATACTGGTCATATCCGGAGAAAACAAAGACTACCTAACAACTAAAGATTGACCAACACACATTTCTTACTTAATATACTGCTTCACCGCTGGGACCTATTCGCAAGACCAAGCTAGCTCACTTCGCTTCGGAGAGAGAAGCCTGACTCTCCTCGATCGTTTGTCGAACGTGAGGAGATTCCCATGGCGGGACCCAAAGATGCCACGTTTCGGCACTACTCGGGTCCCGTTGGGAAGCCCACCTACGAGCTGAAGATGAGGCCGGAAGATGGCGAGACCAAGGTAGATACTCTCAGGGCCTTCTTACCGCGATGTTTGTGTGTGATGCGACCACACTCCTTTTTCACCACACCAAGATGAAAAGGTATTGGTGGACCATGTTTGATGCCCGTAGGCTCCTGCTTGTTGGCTGAAAAAACGCAGTGGACACGGTTGGGACAAACTTTGAAGGACTGACTGTGGATTTGTTCAGGTCGGCGCTTCGCAGGTGTTCTCATGCTGGGCGGCGTGCCCCACTTCGCAACATCATCATCGGTGTTTTTTTCTCCGCAGAACATTGTCATCAATGTCCAACTTCACACAACAATGTCTTCGGTATTCATTATCATCAGCATTCATGGTCAAACATTGTTAGAGCCATGCATCTCAACATATGATGACGTAGTACACAGTTTATACACATGTACACTGTGCACATATACATATTATCATATCGAGAGAAGATATGAGTCTGTGTTGTTGTTTTTGGTCGGTAGAAGCAGTTTGGTTTGTTGCGAGGCTCGAAACCTCACGACCTATTCATATATAATTACTGTAGATGTTAAAGTTTAAAGTGCATAATATTCAAATTGTATTTCTAAGTGGCCTGAGGACTAAGCACAAGAAGAACAGAATCCATGCAACCAAACTCAGCGTCTTGCAGTTTATGAACTCCAAAAGAATAGTCCCGGTAGCCCAACACCCAACAGACACTTGGTGAAACACATGATGTTCAAAGATAGCGTTGCAATTTGTGCGTCGCGGGGCCTTTTCCCACTCCTCGTTGACCCGTATGATGTGTGTTCCACACCGTATGGAGCCGTGCCCGCACACACGCACACTGCAGCTGGGTAGAAAGGGATCTTTCTCCAAAATCAGCCTCTCCGGGCGGATTTCTTGGGTGCTTGTTGATTGGTTGATTGGAAGGGCATTCAAGGACTCAGCTCCCCAGGCTATTCCTCCAGGTTTCACACCTGTTTGCATGCAAATGTATGGAGTTCTGGTGCAGGAGCAGTGGAACTCTGTGTGAGGAGCTCTACTGGATATGGGGGTATGTATTACTGGCAGTACATGCAGTATGCATTTTAACCTACAGTCCTACATGCATGCGTATACAGAACGTGAAACCCATGTTTGGTACCCGCTTGGGGTTATAATTGCATGGAACATTGTCACCCGGCTGTGGATATAGCCCAGATCTTAATCCTCTCATGTCTTATGACCAATGTTCCGTATACTGTAGCATGCCGGTAGTTTTGCCAATGGTTCACCAAGTGCTACTTACCAAATATATGTGTTCGGACATCCGTATTCTTAACAAGAAAGGGGATCTACATGAATTGCGGCTTAGTTGCTCAGATCATCTTAGGTCATGGTGTTCTTTTTTCTTGGTTGTCCATCCACAGGAAAGAGGACAACCACTTGGTGAAAGACCAACCTGCCGCTTGGATGCACCCATTTGAGTGCCTGAAACCGTGGGGACACGGGGTGAGATCGCCTGAAGCTTCCGTACGGACGGCGCTGGTGATTCCGTGCAGACAGCCGGTTTCTGGTCCACGAGTTCAACGAAAGAAAACAGGGACAGGATCCATTGCACAGTTCATGGAACAAATCCAGGTGGCGTTTGGTTTTCATGGCGTGCATGTCACAGGTGTTTCTTTGATGGTGGCTGAATCATTTCTTTTGATTATGCCCTGGCTCCGAGACCCACATGGAACCTGAAAACCACTGGGTTGTAGAGGAAAATAGTCTTCAAAAGATCAATTTTCAGGTTCCATGTGGGTCTTTTCCCGGGTGTTATTTGATTAAACTTGGATCTTCAGTTTTTTCTCTGAAACCGACCCTTTTGGTACCCCTTTTCGCCCAAAACTTCCCTTTCGCCCAGGCCAAATTCCGCGGGAAAGATTCGAACTGCCAGCCGCCCGACCAAAAGGTCCAGCGAATGTAAACTTCCACAGGGTCGAAAGGGTTTGGTTGATTCATGTTGATTCCATGGAGCCACTGGCAGAAAGGGCATTTGGTAGATTCTTCTTCTTCGTGTGTCATCCTCCTCGTTATTTTTTCGTCAGACGATGTGCCACGTTGACCGTGAAGCTTCTTCATGTCGATGGGTGCGACTGGAGTGACGTTCCAGTCGTACCCTTCAGAGCCACGTTCGACGTCCGACTGTCAGAGCCCCCCGAGAAGGACACAGCTAGCCACGGATCGCCGGCGTCGAACGCATTGGACCCGTTGGGCATCGAACGCCGACGCCAACTTGGAACCTCCAGGCTCATGGAGCTATGCTGATTCACCAAGCCAGATCAAGTGAATGGCCCTGTCGCAATCTCTTGCAGCATCGGTCAACATGGAAGTGGTGTACCCATGCCTTGCCACATTGTAGGCAACAACTTGGCAGACAATCCAGCACTGGACATTTGAGAGAATTGCCGCCAGCATGGCCACAAACAATCTATGGATGTGAGACAATATATCCTTTTGCTTAGCAAAGCGCGCGCAATGACAATGGGATGATCCACAATGTGTCCAACAATCCGCAGAAGACGGGAAACATGATGCAGTAGTCATACCGGCCATCCTCGTATCATCACTGTTCTCCATCGATCGTTTTCGCAGCATGCATTTGTGGACAGTAACTTGCAATGGTTGCTTGGGTTTATATACCTCAAACAGCTTCATTGCCACAGACAGGAACCAACTCGGGAACCCAAGAATATGGAACCAGCTGCTTTGAGCTGGCAGTGCCATGCATGCTAGCAAAGTGATATAGTCTCCCCGTTCGAAAACCTACAGATCCTCCTGCCATCCCAAAGATGTGCACGTTTGCAGGCAGAAACACTGTTTGTCACTGTTTAGTCCAGCTCTTCTCTTGCAACTCTGCTGCTCGCAATTCCTAAGCACGTCCCTGGCGCAAAGTCGAGTCGTTCTTTTCCCTACAGGGCCTACAAAGTCGAGTCTCTTTTTGTCCTGCCAAAGCCTACAAGGCACTTCTCTGGTACAGCGTGGCGCCCCTTTTCTTACCAAACACAAATCAAACCAAGCTTGCGAGTGATGTCACGGACGTCGAAAGCTTGGCCAGTGGGGCTACCTGGAAGAAGGAAGATACACCAAAAAAGCATCAAAAAGCCATTGGGCCAGGCGATATCCCTATCGCAATACATCATTTATCAGCCTTTGGTCAAGCCTTCAAAGACCCAAGAATTCACTACCCCAAAAAGATGAGTATTGCAAGATTCTTTGCAAGATACAAGTCCGGCGATACCTCCGTTCCAAACGTATTGATAGCCCCACCAGTTCAATTCCTCCGACATGAGTACTCATCCAGATGGTACGTAACGTTGCTCGTAGTGCCAATTTGAATGCTAATTGTTCGCTCTTGAAATTCGCTGTTGAAATACCCTGGCCGCAGTAAATTACCCAAGCCCCAGCTGCATGAATTCACACATTGTGTATTTTTGTACATTGCATAGTTTCCTAACATACGCCTCCTACTACACTCGCTGAAAGGCAAGGGGCGCGTAGACCGCGAACGCACGACTGCTGACACCTGAACCATGGTGGGTTACGTACATCATATGTGTATATATATATATATGCAGTCAGATAAACATTCAATTAATTGAGTATGCCGCAAAGGCTTCGCCCATTGGTATTCATTGGTCCAGCATGTTGGATGGATGCAGCTGCTGAGCCAAATCCAACGAAGCGTCAGCTGAGGTTGTGCTACAATCTCACCCGCTACAAGGCCATGTATGGCTCCTCACAATGCACCAATGAGATTCCGCCACTCGCACCCATCATATTTCATTCATGAAACATCAAGGGATCGCAAGACTACATCTTAAGAACGCTTAAACTTTTAGATTCAGAATCAGTCGACAGTTTTAGATTGTGTTAGATTTGATTATATTGGTATATAGTGGTCCCTGTGGGACGGCTGCGTTGTAGAGAGAGAGAGAGAGTCCAGGGGCCTTGAAAGAGGATACTTGGTAACTGATCAGGACCTGCCACGAAGCCAAGGAACAAAACATCACTAAAACTGACCACTTGGGGTCGGGCGCATTCCCAAAACATCCCCCCCCCCAATCCCAAACAGGTGTTCAATCCCAAACATCCGAGGAGAACAACTCCAAGTCTCCAGGACTCCAAGACTCCAAGTAGTCTCCGAGACTCCGAGCCGCATGGGCAGCAGCCGAGGTTTACCTTCTCCAAGGTCTTAATGGATCGGTACCACCCGGAGCTCAAGACCCGGAAGTGCCCCTGAGCCGCAGCCGGGGGGGGAAGTGAGGGAGGGTCGCGGTTCCGGGACAAGTGAGGGTGCCGGGGCGTGTGAATGTGGAAGTTGGTTGTTCAGGCTTTCAATTGGTTCATATTATTGGTTCCAAGGTGCTTGTGATTGGATGTGATTAGCAAAACTGTTGTGTGGTTGGCTTCCAAGCAAGCACCTCATCAATGCATCTCTTTTAGACCGCGCGGCACTTTCTTTCTCATGCGTGGCTCAGGTGATTTACCCTGGTTGTGTGAGCCGGGCAAGAAGCTTGGCACCTAGGTGCAACGATCCTGGAGCAAATCAAAGAACACGTTTTCAACTGCAAATAGGAACATGTAAGATTTGCAGCAGGACTTCTAGGATGTGCGCACGCTGGACTTGGGAGCTGAAAATAAGCGGGACCCATTTGTACATATGATCCATGCCAAAGCTGCTGGTGGAGGTCAGGAAGTCCGCGATGTCCATGAAAAGTAAAGAAAGACAACATTGAAGACTTGGCTCTTAGGATGAGTTCACTTGTAGCCATAAAGGATGTTTTCCATTGTTTTCATTCTCTTTTTTTATGAGCACAAAGATCTTCAAATATATGTTGTTCACTCCTTAATGTTTTATGTTCCCTTTGTTTCTTCTTGAGGGCTGCGAGCCATTTTGATGAGGCAACGTGTGAGGTGATGCTATGTTACAGTAGCTGGTTTGGTTGGAATAACTTGCAATCATTCGCAGAACCGTGCTGGAAAGAACTCTTCGAACGCGCAGGTCAAGGATCCCGTGGTGCTTTGAACATCGTGGAGGCCAACGGGATCAGTCGTGGCAGACCTAACAGGTTCAGTCATCGACGACTCGGTGGGATGAGTTCTGAGTCGAGAGGTGCACTTGGAACACACGCGTTGTATGGCCCAGACACTCCATGCGACTGCCATATTTGCCGATCAGTTGGGGCGGTTGAAAAGGGGTCAATGTAGGCATATATGCCATACATGAAGTGTTTGGGTGGTTTCGTGGGGCACCACCACAATTTTTTTTGTGGTCAGCCTGAATTTCGGGGCCAACCTCAGGGGAGTTGGAACAGGAGCTTTGCTTTGCTTGGGGTCGTGGTGTCCCGGTGAGTTTGGCTCATGTGAGTTTGAAATGGTTCTATATCATCAGGCTGGAAGCAGCTATTCTTGTAGTTCAAGATCCCCTTGATCACCCACTTCAGCTCTCAAATCGGCACATTTTGCATGTTTGTTAATGGGTCAGCACGTGCGGATGCCTGTTGCAAAAGGCCGGTTTGCCCTTGCTGGAGAATTGTGGGCGGATACTGTACATGCTGATACGTGGGTGATCCTTCTGTATCCTCCATGCTCCTTCCCGTTACATCCCGTTACCCATGATCCATGTTCTACCATGACGGCATGCATTTGCCATGAACAGCTTTGACGGACCAGTTCGGCATCGTCTCGGAATTCCCACCCCCACCTTTGGGGGGCCGTGATGCCGGCGGGTGCGGCATCTCAGGGCATGTGGCAAGATGGACAACCGCGTGGGTCTGATATGGGAGAGTCCGGGGACTCAAGAAAAAACGCCTTTGACTTCTTCGGACGAGAGGCCGTGATGCTTTTCTCCTTGCGGTTCAACCAGTGGTTTACAAAACACCCCAACATGAAAGTGGATGGCATAGCTCATGGCCCTCGAAGACCATTTTACCTTTACAATCAGGGGGGTGCCATCCAATGATAGTTCCAGGGAGAGTAGGTTCTTACTTCGGCAAGTCGAGAGGTGGCTTTTTCGTGGTGACGTTGTCACACTGTGTTGCCCACATGCTACCACAAGGATCGAGGTCCCGTGTTTGAAGATCGATGTGTTTCTTCAAACAGCTCATATATTGTTGTTTGTTTCCCCAGACTACTGTTGGGGTTCTGTTTGGGCTTGTGTTCTTGTTTGATTTATTAATTTGGTGATCTACATCAAAAGGGACTGTTCTTCCCCAAGTAGTTGCTGCTGCGGTTCTCTTTTGGAGAAAAGGAAGCACAGTTTCTGGCATTTGGCCGCGCCGGTAAAACGCTGTGTCCGGGCATTGTCCTCCTGCTGTCCTTTTCTTGTCCTTCTTTCTTTGTGCAGTTTGGCCACGGCTGCCAGCCGGTCTCCAAACCTTGTCCTCCTGTTGTCTCTGTTGTCTCTCCTTTCCTCCTCTTGTCTTCTTCTTGTCACCCCGTTGTCCTCCTGTTGTCCTTCAGCTGGTGTCCAGATGGCAGCGTGGCAGCATGTAGACCCGACATGACACCGCTGCAAAGCACCGCCCCCCCCAAAGCGCAGGCAAGGGGTCCAGTTGCACGCGCAAGCCTTGTGTGGCACCTAGTGGGAATGCGCCAGCCAGCGAGCGCGAAGACCGCAGTACCGCAGCATGGCCACGTGGCAGCCTGTCGGCATGTAAACACGACGACTTTCGAGGGTGCACTACCAGGCAGCGAGTCACTAGCAAGACAACTCTAAAAAATCCAATCCCAGAAGCCTTTGTCCTCTCCTTGTCCACTTCCTGGGGGGGAAGAAGCTGGCCACAGTGTGAGGCCGCGCCGGCGAGCCCTGTTTGGATGTGCTCCTTACCTCTTGTCACAAACCTTTTCGGTCCTGTCCTCCTCATGTTCTTCTCTTGCCTTCCCGTTGTCCTTCTTCAGGTGTTCATTGGCCGCGGCTGCCAGCCTATCTCTGGTCGGTCCCGTCGTCATTTTGCCTTTCTCTTGTCCTCTCTTCCTCTTCTCCTCTTGTTCTCCTCTTGGTGTGCTCCCCTCATGTTGTCCTGTTGTCCTTTGGCGTTGTTTGGTCACAGCTTGTCCTTCTTTCGTCCTCTTGGTGTGTTCGTGTTGGCTTCCTTCCTCCTCCTTGTTTCCATTGTTGTCCTCCTCATCTCCTCTGGTCTTTCTGTTTTCTGCTGCTGCTGTGCTGTTCGCAACTTTCCGGGGCAGGGGCAGGAGCTGCGGCCAGCCACCACCACGACAACACTTCTTGCCGACTAAGCTGTTTGGGGTCGTGTTTGGGGTCCATGCTGGTCGCCTGATGTCCTCTTCTTGTCCTCCAGGGTTGTCCTGCTGTTGCCCTCTGGCCGCGCTGGCCAACCCTATGTTCTCCTCTTGTCCTTCTGGGTGTCCTCCTGCTGTCCTTTGGCCGCACTCGCGAACGTCCTCCTGCTGTCCTCTGGCTGCGCTGGCGAACCCTGAGGCCTTGCCCGGATCTGTTTGTCCTGCGTTTGCCCTTTCATCACCGCCCTGCCTGGGCTTCGTCCCTGCTTGACCACGCCAGGCTGCTTTCCGTTTTTCAACCGCCTTGTCCGAGTATGTTCTCGTGTGGCAATGTAGTTCAAGTTTCAATCTTGAGATCATCCTCGGAATTTCTTGTGACAGTTGATCGGAAAATGAATATAATCAATAAATTATCTGCAGGTCACAGAGCCACATAGCTGTCCAAGCCGCCCGGAAAATATCCGCGATGGAAGGCAAGGCCTCTGACGGGGCCGATGGGCGGAAGTGTCCCCTGCCACAGACTAACGAACTTAAGCCTCAACGTTTCCTTGCCCAGCCCTCAGGGTGCACAAAGGATTAGTTGAGTCCTGTCCCGGCATGTCCCGACTGTCACAGACTCAAACTGACAACTCAACTTGCCCTTGCGCAGCCCTGACAGTGCATACAAGGATTGTCCTTCCCAACTCACAAACTGCAACTGCATCACCCTTGGGCCCTGACAATGAGGCAACAATCAGCAGCTCTGACAGATTTTGCAGATGTTGGCGCATGATATGCATTTTGGGGGACGTGATTAACTAATTATGTGCGAACGATCCGCGCAAAAGTTCTGTGAATATGCCCTTAAAGTCCCGGTTCCAAACTTGAGCGTCCCCCAACATTCCCCGAGCCTTTGTATACCTTGTGTTGAGTCCAGTGTTGGTATTGTAGCTGGCACGAGGGTTCGATTGAGTTGTGCCTGACTCTATTCTAAGCCTCCCTCAGGACATTCCTCAAGGCCATTCAAGGCCTCAAAGTTTGTCGCACAGATGCCGCAAGTGACGCTAGGGTGGCTGTAGCTCCCAACCTGGTGTGTAGGTCATGCTGCAAGATGCCAGGTCAACATTTTTTGTTACAAACATATCCAGGCATAGTCCCAGCACATGTTATACAGCTAGACTTGGTTTTGCGATGAGGCCGCGAAAGATGCGCAAAACATATTCTTCCGCAAAGAATTGTTTTTGCACGTGTTGTGACCTGGGACTCAGGAACTCCTTTTTGTTGTCACCCCAGGAATATAATGGCAGATATTAGCACCAACATTGGAACTCAAAGAGTTGACACCAAAATGCTGCGACTGTCCGGGGTCTATGCTGGCACAATTTTTTTCAGGATCCTTGCGAAATATCAGGAAACACTTGCCAGGAGTTGAGAAGGGGCCAAGCCAAACCGGTAGTGTTGTTGATGTCTTCTACCCCCAGCCAGTGATTGTCAACAAAACACCCAGGGGAGTACCCACGGTTTATCGAGAGACCCGTGTGCACTGGCATCTTATTTTTATAGTGTGTTTTTTTGGTGTTTAACGTTGTGATGTGATCGTTTCCGAGATTTTCGGGCCACGCTTTGTGATCATTTTGGTTTCGCTTTGTAGGCCGCACGACATGTCGATTGCCATGTCATTTTGGTGTTTGGGAACGGGTTGCAGAAGGCTTCTGACAAACCAAGGCGCCACAGTGAAGATGAGGAAGAAGAACGTCTCTCGGCGTTGTTTTTGCGTGTTTATGCCGTCTCCAGTCAAGAGGTATAGTGATCCAAACACCGCAATGCGGTGTTGGTTTTTTGGGTCAGAGAGGCCGGGTTTGGATCAATGCACGACTTCTTCTTTCGATGGTACTTGGAACATGGGCAGCTTTCGGGACCGATCTGATCGGACGGTGGGGTATGGTATCAGACCCTGTCAATAAGACTGTGATCAGCAGTGGTAAGGCTTTTCGAGGGTTCCTTTTCCCACCTTCTATTTCCCTCTATTTCCAGTGTCCAAGGAAAACGTGTGCAGGCTAGAAGGCTACCAGTCAGCTTCACTGGGTTTCCATGCTGCAGCTATCATGCCCTGCTTGGGGATGAGTCCTGGTGTGCTCAGGTGCCGATTTGGCACGCTATGGCAAGAATTGGCAAAAAGTGAGGAGGGCAGTGGAAGCAGTCAAAAGCTCAGAGATGAAAACTAACTCCGCCCTTCGACCAATTCCGTTAAAACAAAAATAACACACAAAAACTAAGACCCGGACAGGTCGAAAATTCACCATG